TTTGCACTGTTAATTCGAAAAAGTCAGAAGCATGTATTACAGGTCACTGGAGAAGAGCCACAAAGAATCTTTGTTCCAATAAAACAGAATGATTTGGAGGTTTTTGCAACAGCTCTCATTGGTCAATTTACAAAGGTCATTGTTCTGTTTAGCCTACGTGCATTTACAATTAAGCCAAGTTTCTCATCTCTAGTCAGGTTGTCGTGGTACATCCCATCTTCTCTGGGCACATCTTGTCATGCAGCCTATTCTTGCACAAGCGTATCTCCAAGGATATGCTCATCCTTATTATCTCATTCCGACCTTGTACTATTTCCCAGGCCTAGACAGACCTTGTACAGTTTCCCAGGCCTAGACACAGAGCCTATTTCCCTGTTCCCAGGCCAGACACAGGCTGATTCTGATTCTGGGGTCTTAGACAGAGGTATCAATGAATAACTGTTCCATTGATCCATGACCCCTCTCCTGCAACCATTCTCCAATGCCTTATCACTTTTATGAAACATGAATCATCAAGAAAAACCTCATCACTTTTCAGAAATGGCAACAAGTTTCTAGGTTTGGTTCTAAACAGCTTACTTTAGGTCATATCAGGACAGTCCAATGCTGAGAGCAGTAACACCACCAGTGCATCAAATTCCAGATAACACAGGCAGTCATAAAGCCAGGAATTTCACCCACAGCCTCAGCTCTGACTGCAGCAAGTGGAAAATCACCCCTGAGCAGCTCTTCGTTCCACCAGCCCCAAGCCAAAACATCCCTGCTCCACTGGAGACAGATTTTTAGTGGGAGTTGGATTAAGCTTTATTTGCTTAATGACCAACAACTCATAGGAAGAATCACGGCAGAGCAGGGCCCCGTATGAGCTCAGTGTGTGTGTGCCCTCCTGACCCACAAGAGCCAAAACATTAATTTCACTCTCTGACAACAAAGCCTCAAAACTATTCCTTAAATACACAACTTTTGCAGGTGGCTGTGCAAGGAGCCCCTGCCCACCATGGACAGGGGGCCGCGGCCATAAAACCTGAAACATGAAGCTCTGCCTGCAGATTAAAAAAGTTTGTAAAACATGTAAGGTGGGATCAGATCTGGTGAAACCTACAGCAGTAGGTTCACTCCTGTAAGTTTATATTACTGACATTGGGCACATTGTTAAGAGTGTGATACTACTGGTTTTGCTCCCTTTGCAGTGGCACGTACTTGAGCATAAGGCAAGGAAACAAAACACACACACAAAAACCCACCAAAAACCTATTTCAGCACGCACAGCAATCTAAAACCTCAGTAAAGTGATCTTGAGTCACTCTGAGTTTTCCGTGCATAAACCAAGGGGACTCTTCAGGAGCTGCTTTGCTGGGGGGAAAGAGACCTGGAAGCCCAGGGCAGTTTCACAGCCTATGTGTCTGTATCACTGTCAGAACTCTGCAAGCAATATTCTGGGGTTTTAACTTCAACACCTACCAACAATCTTTCTAAAAATAAAAAAAGCTTAAAAAAAATATTTTGTAGTTTGAAGGTGACCGTGATCTCAGCCTGGAATGTGTGACAGACGCTGCCATGCCACTGCTTGATTTGCAACTGCACTTTCATTAACATACATCTTTTAAAACAGTGCTTTTGCTGGGCTGACAGCACTGCCAGAAAGCCTAAGAGAGCCAGTCATTCTGAAGTCATTAAAAAGTTGAACTAACAGATATTTAACGATAACAGAAAGAAGTCGTCTGAGTTAGCAGAAACTGCTCTAGAATCCTAAACTGACTCTGAGCTGAAAAAAACACATTCCAGGGCAAGAACAGTGACAAGACTCTCTGCAGCTCTGCACACACTGTAGTCTCTTTAGGGGAAAGAAAAAACTGAGGGCTCTGTTTGTGGAATTTCATTATTGATATACACCTAAAATTATGTATGTTCAGGTTAGATTGGGCATGACAGCAGATAATAGTAAGACAGCTAAGAGAAATCCTACATAGACCTCATTTGAAATTAAAAAAAAAAAAAAAGTGAAAAAATGCAGCTTTTAAGCCCTACTCCAGCTGCAATCAAATGAAACATGAGTTGCATCCAGCGTGCATGTTTTGACTGCATCCCACCATTATCAAGCTGTTCATCTCAGCAAAGCTCATTTATACAGTCATAAGAAAGAGCCCAGGCCTTTTGTAAAGTTGATCCTAAGTGATGAAACCTAAGCTCAGCCGTGAGTCAGGGAGTGGGATGGTATGTCTCTGAAAAAACTCTAGGAGAGAAAATGACAAAAAATGTTTTTCTTTCCCCCTTTTTGTTAAATATAGTAGGTAAAACACAGCAGAAAGACCAGATTACACAGCACCCTGAGTTCATCTCAATCCTGCCTCGAGCAGTCTGGGAGCCATACCTATCAGTCAAGCTTGAATTTAGTAGCAGAAACTTGTGGGCAGCATGAGGCTGGGAACACTGGAAGGATCTTTTACCTTCTCAGGTACAGCCCAATGTTTGCTTGTGAATTTTACAGATGAGTTGAAGCAATTAGAGGTGAACAATTACTGCTGATCCAGTGTCTGTGGCTCGGAGCGAGCAGAGACTGGGGTCTCCCCGTGCTACCAGGGCTGCTGAGCTGCTTTGTGTCCCAGGGGGAGGCAGGAAGAATTGGGGTGTCCCCCCACGCCTGCACCCAGCACTGGCTGTGGCTCCAGCTGGGCTGGGGTCTCGTGCACCAGCTGGGCTGCATCGTCTCTGCCCTCCAGCTCTAGCCACAACCACGGACACGCATCCTCAGCTTCACCTTATTTTTATTTCCCCTTTTTATTCCCTTCTTTTTCTTTTATCCCCCCTTTTATTTTCCAGGAGCTACGGAGGCTGAGTGACCCCAGGCAGCCCCACACAGTCTCGATGTGCACACTCAGCCCTGACTTGCATTTGTCACTCCTTGTACACGCACACGTTTGGCCATGTAACGTCCATTTCCCAGTTTGCCTTCCCATTATATTTTATATTACCTCTGGTGAGCTTGTGCCAGAAGAAAGCAGAAGGAGGAGCTGTTAGAAAGACTTTCTTGCTTTAAGATTCGAGAGCACATTTTTAGCATTAACTTTTTAGGCTCTGGTCATAAAACGTTGGAGTACGCGGACGATTTTGTGGGGAAATGTGCAGCGTTTCCAGAGGGCCAAATGAACAACAATCTCTTGCTGACAGCACCCAGATCACAACAAGCTACTTGAGAGACAACCAAATCTTAATTTGTAAATCTCAGCAACAAAACACTATAAAACTACGGAATTATGAACAGCACGATACTGTGCAAAATAAATAACAAGTCTCCAGTGAATGAAGGGAATTATTGGCAGCAGTACAGCCACCATTACCAAATGTCAGAAATGTAAACACTAAAAAAAAAAGAGAAAGTTAAAAGCACCATAACTTTCCTTCCAAAAACGTCAAAGCGCGGGTGTGCGCTCAGAGGGAGATGCTGATGGCTCAGCCTCGCCTGCGCTCTCAGCTGCAGATCCCCAACACCGACCCAAAGACAGTGAGCTGCTCTGACCAATGCATGTGATTTCACTTCTGATCTTTCCTACTTACACCAGCTCCTGCTCAATGTAAAAAACTTGAATTTACTGTTTCAATTAATCTACATAGTTTCCTTTTCCTATCACTGTTCCATAAACGCTCTGCATGGAGAGAATTTATCGTTTTTCAGCACAAAGCATATTTCAGCTTGGAAAACTTAACTTGCTTTTACTAATAACCTTTATGGTTTCTTTAGTTAAACCAGCTGCTGTATAAAAAAGAAATTATCTCTCGGTCCGCTGGCTCGTTCTATGCTACATGTGCTCAGGGCTGAACTGTAAAAGTTGGAAACGAAAACTATCTTCTCTCATAGTTTCTGAGAAAGTTATTTAACCCAGTTTTAATCAGCTATCTTGCATGAGTGAAATACGTAGCACTGGGCTGGAAATAGCAGGCTCCCTCACATTCATTTCCTATACGTAAGGAATTTTATTAGAAAGAATGATTTTTAATTGAAGCTTTGTGTCTGGTTGTGATTCTTCTTTCAATACTGTCAAGGCAATTAAATCAGCTAAAGATAATCTTTAACATTCACCTGATGCAGTTAATTAAGTGATGAAAAATGAAACACTGATTAAATGAATCGAATCCTACATTGCAGGTAGCGAAGTTTAAATTGGAAACAAGAATTCACAATCAGCTGTTGCTTTGCTGTTTTAGGTATTTTACTTTAAAGAAGCAAGGCTTCCTCAGCCTAACTTTACCCATTAAAATATTTCATAATGGCCTGTGTTATCTACAGACAAAAGCAAACTCTGATTTAGGAAACACCTAATAACTCATCAGCATAATTGAAAACAAAATGCTTTACTGCTTTACTACATTCTTCCTCTGCCTATCCCAGCGTTTTTTCCAACACACAAGGATAAATAATGTTTCAGCCCAACAAAGAGTGGATTTAAGTGCAATAAATGAAAAGAAAAAGAAAACCACTGAAGACCCTGATTCAGCACGTAAGTGCTACGAGTTGCAGCAAAGTGTAGAAAGGCACAATAATATCCATGCACATGTGCATTCAAACCCAAAGCCCCACACATCCAAGTACACTGGTAACATTATTGCTTTTGTGTCCTCCCCTCTTTGCATTAAATTCATGTTACAGCATCCAACCAAGTCCACGATTTACCACAGCAATCCAAATGGACTGCAACAGGAGCCAGAAAATGTTCCCAATTCAAAATCAGCATGCCTCTGTATCTCTTAGAAAGCAGTCCTCAATTTTATCAGATATAAGACCAAAGAAAATCATATATGAATTGAACAACATGGAAAACTGAAAATTCATATTTTCTACCGCCTATAATCAAAATTATTCCATTCTGCATTTCCAGCTGTGCCTTATCTTTTATCCTAAGGGCAAACAGGCCAAAAGCTGTTGTGAATTGCTGTTATTTTTTTTTCCATTGACACCTGAAAGTTCCTTTAAAAAGTAAGTCCAGAAAGTGAACACCACGTACCTGATCACTTATTTGACATGCAACAAGGTTGTGCTGATTGTAGCATCCAGCAAACTTGATATATTTGAGCCAGTTTCCTACATCTGGTTGACTGGCATCTATGCAGAACTTCACATTGCAAAACTCATCCAAGATCTAAAAAGAAGAATGTGAAAGAGTAAATCTTTCTGTTGCTGGTTGAGTATGCTAATAAAAAGATAAATCACAGGTTTCCAAATAAAGAAGCAGATAATAACAACAACAACAATAATAATAACATTAATAATAATAATAATAATATTGGTGTGTTTATTCAGAAATGTTTCCCTGCTGAGATTTTTTTTAGGAGCTGCCAGAATACATACATAATCATAAAAAGGCAACAAATGTTCTGAAAAATGTCTTGACAAATATTTACAAGTAACTGAAATGTTGTCTAATTATTGCAATGAAACACTATGTTAATTTAAGAGGCACCTGATTTTCTATGCATTCATCAATGACTGTATCTGAAATTATTATTTTAATTAAATAAGAATCTGACAAGAATATAACAAAATATATTAAAACAGATGGCGTTGGCTTCATTTAGGGTTTCTGTTTTGTTTCAGTATTTACGCTGATTGCAACACTCATTTAGAATTTTTATATTTGTTGCTCTGAACCAAACTTTACCTGGTAGGCAGAGTTATTTATCGTGTTTTAATATTACACTTCCCAAACAGTCCTGTGCAACACTTAAATCCCTCCCCTTAATCCAAGCAAATAACAGAACTCCTTATGTCAAAATAAAGAGAATAAATGAAAAACAATATAAACACTCATGCAAACTATGGCAGTATTCAATACACACCAATAAATGGTTCCAATTATGCAGACAATAAACAAATATAATGAGACTTCTCGTGGACAAGCTAAAGACGATGTTCTATTCTAATATTATGACAAATTACTAATCATTACAGCGGACTGAATATCATTACTCGCAAGCCTCACCATCGGCCTATCCCAAACTTCCCACGGCTTCCCAGGGAGCTGAGTGCTAAATTGTAACTTCGCCTCGGCACCGGCAGCAGCCGCCCCATTTGAGCAGCAAAATCAAGGGAACAACCTTGAACGCCCCAAACGAAAGCGGCGGGCGCGGGCGGCTGCGCCCCGCCGGGGAGCGCCCGGAGCCGCGGCCGGAGCCGGCGCTGCCGCCCCGGGACACCGGGAGCCCGCGGAGGTCGCTGAGCCGCGGCGGTGCCGCCCGAGCCCCGCGGGACGCGCTGTCCCCGCGGGAGCTGGAAAACCTCCACCCCAGCCCGGAGGCCCCCGAGCCCCGGAGAGCCCCGCGGCCGCGCCAGGCGAGCCCGGTCCCCGCGGGCGCGCACGCTGCCCCGCCGCCCGCACCTCCGGCTGCTCTTGGGAGCGGGACCTTTAATTTTCCCTTTCAGACAAACCCCCAAGGAGGGAAGGGGGGCTCACACCCCGCACTCCCCGGCGTCCGGGGTCTGCCCCGGGGCCGGCGGCACCGACGGGGCAAAGCGGCCCCGTCCCGCGGGGCCGCGGCAGCGCCGCCGCCGCGCTCGCCGCTCTTACCTTGTGTCGCCGGGAGCCCGCGGGGGCAGGGAGGGGGGAGAGGGACAAATATCCTTCAGGCGGCTGGGAGCAACATCTCGGCGTTAAACGCGTGCGGAGGCCGCGGCCGTCGGGGTCCGGGGAGCGGCGGGCGCGGCGCGGGGCGCTCCAGCGTGTGCGGGGGGCGGCGGGGCCCGGGCGGGGGCTGCTGGCCCCGGAGGGCTCAGCGGCGGCGGGGCTCGGCGGGTTCCTGCCGGCTCGTCATCACCGTCCCCGTTCGGCCCCTCCTGGTCTTATCGGCTGGCTTTGGGGCGGCGTGTGCGAAAAAAGTTATCGGGG